GTGTGATTATTTTGGGATGATCAGATGTTTGGGGTGCAATTCATTTATTAAATGGCCTTATGGGTTCGGGCGATGCTCAGGGATCTGTGTTCATGAGTGTTTTTTGAACAGATATCAAGAAGGTGAATTTAGGATTTGTATGTAAAAAAGAAGGATTTCAAGAATCTGAAATTGGTAGTTATATGCAAATAAATTGGTATTGGAGGCTTATAGTTGCTTGGATGAAGTCACAGACCATAATTTGGAATTTATTTTCATTTTCAATCTATTTTTGTGTTGATTTTGTTTTCTCAACTTTGGGTGGATAGTTTGCAATTTTATTCTTTGCAATTTAGGAATTAAATTTCAGTTTTAATGCCAATTTGGATGTTTTTTAAATTAAGAATATTTTTTTTTACAATGAATCTATGCTAGGTGTTGCTCGGTGCCAATAATACTATGCATGTTAGGTGTTTGATAAAATGAGCTATTGCTATTCTTACAAGGTGTAACTATGCCCATTTTCACCCTCTGAAGTGCTGAAGATGTTATGTTGGACAGAAATCTACTATTTTTTCCTACAAATTTTGTCCAATGGCATTGAGTCTGAAAGCTTTAACAACAATCGTTGGCTTTAGAGAGAGTGATGTTTGTTTGTTCATTTTATTCAACCTTGTGTACTTTAAGAATGTTTAATAGTATTTACCTTTATCATTATTTGCTTACTTTTTATGTTTCAAATGACAGCTCTTTGTGGCTAATGAAAATAAGCCTCTTGACATTGTCAATGTGCTCGTTGCCAATAGAAGCAAGCTTCTACAATTACTTGGTGTCTTCAAGGCTGATACAGGTGGTAAATTGTTAATTATAACATTATTGTGACTGCCATGTTTAAGTAGTAGGAACTGAACCAAAATTGATTTGTTGTAGAGGATCAATCATTTGAGATAAACAAAGCTAAAGTCTTAAAAGAAATTGCGGAATTGGAACCCCAACCACTAGTGAATGTGTCGGGAGAATTGTATAAAGATCTCATGATTTAGATTGTCATCGATTTATTCATGAATTTATAGTTTTGATAAACAGTCATATCTAAATCATCTGATAGTGATTGTATAGTGTTTCTCTGTCAAAGACGTCAACCAGTAGAATTGAAGTAAGTATTCATTTAATCATAGTGACTATTTGATGGAACTGACAACTGAGTATTGATGAGAATGAGATATTAGGCAAATGTGAATAAGCCTTGTGCATTTGATCTTGTCCAAAGCATGCCCATGGATTTGTGGNTAACCAGTAGAGTTGAAGTAAGTATTCATTTAATCATAGTGACCATTTGATGGAACTGACAACTGAGTATTGATGAGAATGAGATATTAGGCAAATGTGAATAAGCCTTGTGCATTTGATCTTGTCCAAAGCATGCCCATGGATTTGTGGATGGATTAGTATTACCAAAGGACAAGCTCTGGTAAGTCACATTTACAAATCAGATGAGGGGAACAGCTGTTGTGAGGGTGGATTTCTCGCATTGCACTATTACCAAAGGACAAGCACTAAAAAATTTAAAAAATTTTATTTTGTATCCTCAACGATTAGATTTTTCGCATTGTATTCTTAATGTATTAAAATTATTATATTGTGGTTATTCTATTACTTATTCTGTTAACATCAATTAGGTAATTTTTGACAGACCNCGCTGCTGTGAGGGTGGATTTCTCGCATTGCACTATTACCAAAGGACAAGCACTAAAAAATTTAAAAATTTTTATTTTGTATCCTCAACGATTAGATTTTTCGCATTGTATTCTTAATGTATTAAAATTATTATGTTGTGGTTATTCTATTACTTATTCTGTTAACATCAATTAGGTAATTTTTGACAGACCAAACAATGAAAGTTAAGGGACACATTGTAACACTTTTATATGTTAAGGGTGTAATATAAAAAATTTTATTTTTAAANTCTGTTAACATCAATTAGGTAATTTTTGACAGACCAAACAATGAAAGTTAAGGGACACATTGTAACACTTTTATATGTTAAGGGTGTAATATAAAAAATTTAATTTTTAAGGGTATAAAATAAAAATTCTAAATCTTTCAGATTACAAAATGAGATTTCTCCTCACTTATATACAAAGTTAAGCGTCAAGAACTCAAGATGTGACTTTTGCCTAAACAACTGTCCCACTTACTAGTTACCACTGTCTAGATGGTGATAAAAGTCCAATAAATTAAAATAACAAGGCCTTTATTGCAAATAACCATAGAAAGCGGGCCCCAAAAGAATTCTTCCCTGGGTTTTTCTTTTCCAACAGAAGTCTATAGGTTCAGCAACAGAAAGCAACGACGCACTCAAAGTCAATCTTTTGCCGCCATTGATGTGAGCTTTCTCCCTACATCTGCAAGCTAAATTAAATGTAGTAGAAAACGTCATTTGGAATGATACGCACTATTTTTTTTAAAGTGTTACTCGCCGTTTGAAAATTCATTTTAAAAAATTTCATTAAAAATGACGTTTTTAAAAACATCATTTTGAATGACGTTTTCAATAAAAAAATTTCAGTTTAAAATCGTCATTTCAAATGACGTTTTAACCTATGAAGGCCTCATTTGAAATGACGTTTTTAAAAAGAGACTGAGTTTGAGAAATAAATTTAAAATCGACTGAGTTTAGGAATTAAGTATTTGGGAAGGCTAGGTTTGGGGAAAAGCTCAAAGTAATCACAATCAAACTCATTGGGATCTAGGATAAAACGACTTCAGTAGCTAATAACAAAGGTCTCAATTTCCTCTTATTGACCGCAAAACTATAATTTTCGAGTGATTATGAATAAGATTATTAATGAATTATGTTGTAGAAGAAAGTAAAGAATTTTTAATTATAGTGGGATTACATTAAAGATCAGCCATAAGTCCATTATGGATGAATTCACTAGGCACATTCAAAATGATGTCTCATAGTGTATGTTATTTACAGATAATATTGTCTTAGTAGATGAAATTCGAAGAGGGATTAAAAATAAGTAAAAAATTTAGAGAGATAGTTGAGTCAAAAAGACTTAAAATAAGTAGGAGAAAGACTAAATACATACAATGTAATTTTAGTAATAGAAGAAGTACACATAGTGAAAAAATTAAAACTGAAAATCAAGAAATACTAACAAGTAAACAATTTAGATATCTAGGATCAATAGTAAAAATAATGTAGATATTGGAGATAGTATAACTTATACAATCAACGCCTATTGACTTAAGTGGTTGAAAGCCTCTAGCATATTATGTGCAAGTTTTACCAAACAGTTATTTGGACAACAATATTGTATGAGATGGAATGTTGAGCAACTAGGAAATAATATAGCGACAAAATGAGTGTAGGTTGTGTATCGAAAATGAGAATGTTAAGGTGGATGCATGAAATAATTAGAAATGATAAAATATAAAATGATCGTATTAAAGAAATAATAGGAGTATCTCCAATTAAAAATGAGAAAGAATAAATTAAAATGATTTGATCATATTCAACCGAGGTTGTGATAAAATTTCTCTTAATGGTACTAATAGTAAAGATAGACTTAAATTAACATTGAACAAATAAATAAAAAAATATATAAATATATTTAATTTAAATGAGTGTATAACGCATAACCGAAATAAACAGTGAAGCCAAACTCAAATAGTCAACCCCAAATAATTAGGACATAAGATTTAGTTTGATTGGTTGGTTATGCTGTGTTATGTTCTCATATTCTATTTATGTATTAGTTATTGTTTGTGCCTTCAGGCACAGAGTAATAAAAAATGGTAAACAATACACCTATTTATATTTATATCCAAAATCAAATCACAAACATATAAAAGAGATATAGGAATTTAAGTATCAATTTGTAGTGGGGGTGAGAGGTGGTGGGCGGCAGTGGTGGTGGTAGGAGACTGTGATAGTTGTGGTGTGTAACAATGATCGTGGTGACAGCGAGGTCAGCGGCGATGGCGACGGCGACAACGACGGTAGTGGTAGGGGTGGTGGTGGCAACGACAATAGTGGCGGTGGCTGTGGTGATGGGGGTGGCAGAGGTGGTGACGGCGGCAAATGTGATGGCAGCAACGGCTGCAGTAGCGGTGGTGGTGATAAAGGTAGTGGTGGGACAATTTCAAACTCTATTATTAGTTTTAAAGTACTTATGAGAAACAATTTCTAAAAATACTTTTAAAAAATTACTTCAAACACACTCTTATGGGCCTATTTTTTCTATTAAATTTAGGGTGTTAATATTAGCCGTTAGATTAACTTTAAAATAAATTTTAAAACGATTTTAACCGCAAATAGTAAAAATCATTTTGTTTATCTTTTGAAATTTGAATTGTGAACTACTTTATTATATAGATATAATCATATCGTTTTGTGTTATAAGTCATGAATTATTATAATTGAGCAATGTTATTAGAACCTAATTTACTGACCTAATTTATTGATCTTATTCATTATGACATTTGAATTGAGTGTTATATTTAACATTGTAACTTAGTGTTGATCAAATAGTTCTAATGAGACTACATCATTATATCAGTAAATTAAGTCAAATTTTTAAGTTCAACTAACATTACTCATTATAGTTATCTCGTGTTCACATCATTAAGTCTGCTCTGTCCCATTCCAAACCCCTAATATATGTAACAACAAAAAATTAGCATCACTCATTATCAACAGAAGCAATTTTAATCCTAATCTAATACTAACTTGATCAAATAATAGGTCAAAATCTCAAAGTGCAATAATGATTCTTCATTTAAACACCAAGTAGTAATATACCTCAGTTTAGTCATTGCATGCGGACTAATATATTTTTTTTTTTTTGGACAGAACATGCATAAAAAAATACACATAACAATCTACACGACAAAACTCAACACACATGTAGAGAGGGAAAATTTAAATATCTCTTAATCGGACATAAAAACCATATAAAAGAAGTTCAAGTTGAATGGCTAGGGTTTTAAAATCTGGCAATCAGTGGTGGTCAATTGTCATCAGAACAATCATTGTCGTACGACGACTCCTTAGCGGGGTCAATGTTGTTGACGATGTCGGCGGCAACACTGTCGGGATCGCGAGTGGGGTCAGACTTGGTGATGGTGGCACGAGCCTTCTCCAACCACGGCTTGAACGCGAGCTCTATGGCTAGCCACCCACAGGCTAGGGCTCCGAAAACTACAGCGACAGATTTCACCGCGTTTTGCTTCCCCATTGATTCTGAATTTGCCTCTTCTTCTAACTTCGGATGCAAGTAAGCTCTCTATACGACAAGATCTGTTTTAGCGTTCTAGGTCGAGCCTTCTTGTTGACAGCTGTTGCGTGGGCTACACGAAAGACTGACTTACACAAGAAGCATGGAGAGGGTCCAGTTGGGCCCAAACAACAAGGCCATATATTGTTTTAAATCTGAATTTTTGAAAATCGGTATACTTAATTAAACTTATTTGATAAAAAATAAATATTAAAAAATATTTTAAAAAAATATACACTAATTAGATACAAAGACATAAATGCTCATTTTAAGGAAAATGGTGCATTAAATATTTCTTAATTTTATGGGAAAACTTTAATATTTAATACACATTGATTCATATGTTTTTATATTTATATATGTCTCACCTTACTTAATAGAAAGTGTAAAATGTTAAATGTTAATATTAAAAGTGTAACACTTTTACACCTTTTCAATTAATTAGTATTTTTAATGTAAGATGAGATATGTATATTCTGTTTATGTAATATTTTATGTAATGTCTCTCTTTACCTTGTGTAAATAACTTGTTACAATGTTATTACTACATTGTTATTGTTACTTTCAATATTACCTTATAACATTTTACACTTTCCATTAAAAAATGTGAGACATAAGATAATACTTTACACTTTACACGTATATATATAAACAAATACACATGAATCAAGGTGCATTAAATACTAAAGTTGTTCTATAAAACTAGGAGATATTTAATGCACCACTTTCCAAAGAACATACATATGGATCAATGGAGGACAAAAATGTCACAAAAAAATTAGGCAAATTCAAATTATGCATTTAGATACAAATAAGTATCAAAATTAAGGACTTAATAATCCTACATTTTTTAGTGTGTACCTTTTACCAAATAAGTCTAATTTGGTGCACCCTTACAATTTACCCTTTTAAATCTGCTAATCAGTTGCTGGATAATTCATGAAAAAACTAGGAACAGGGACGGGAACAGCCTTCGGGATACACATCCCGTTAAGGCTACCCACTTCGGTGGATCTCTAAAAACTAGGAAATAGTATTGCAGTAGATAAATATATATAATTCCTCCAGGTAAGAACATAACCAGATTAGCTCTCCCACAATGCATATGTTGTTTACATAACCAGATGCCATAAAATTGGGATGAATGCATCATAATTATCGGCCCCGACCATATCCATTTCCACGACCTCGGCAACGCCCACGACCCAAAGCCCTTCCTGAATTGGGAATTGGAAGAAAGAATTTAAGTGTTTAAAAGAGGTGATGCACAATGGATCAAAGTGAAGAAATAACTGTATCGAAGTGTGATTAAGGCAACCAATGAGATTTGCTGTACCAGCAGTTGGCTTCTTGGGTTGACCCTAAGAGTCTCTTCCACCAGCAATGTTTCAAGATTTAAGCTGTCAGGAAGGATATACTGTCGGATATTGTTACCCCTCACACTCAAGTGATCCAAGGTCACTGGGTTCTTTCCCTTCAGTGTAAGCTTTACAGTCTTCAAATGAGTGTTCAAGCTAATATCCACACCTATAGCATGTCAAGAACACTACCACTCAGAAACCGTGATTCACATAGGTATCAATTCTATATGCACAGGCATGCTTGGATCAGTCATCACTCCGATAACATTGATTGGCAGAAAATAAGATGGTATCCTATACGTTCATAAGATGGTATCCAATACGTTCATCCAATTATCATAAGTGCTAGACATATCCAGTAGCAACACAAAAGCTGTTAACTTATTGTAGATATAAAAGTCACAAAAAGCTTTCTTATCGAAAAAAAAGTCACAAAAAGCTGAAAATTGATATAATAAGAATGTTTAACACAGTATTGGTAAGAATTTCAACTACGATAAAGTCATCGTCGTACAAATCCTCAAACTACTTGGTAATGCAGTGTAGAAGTATCAGTCATTACGAAAAGTTGTAGCCGTAGAAAATGGGTATTCATTGTTCCCCAAGAAGTTTCGTGACCGAAACTCCAATAATTGAAAATAGCTTGTATACTCGTTACAAACAGCATAAGTGGCAAAGTAAAGTGAGAGAAAGGTTGGTCATTAGTACACAAGAGTTAATACAGAAGAGCTCACAAAGTACCAATCTAGACACATGCTGAAATACAAAAAAAAAAATGTGATTTATTATATCCTAGGGCATCAAAGCAGTTCTAAAATGGATTGGAAATAGGATCTAGTTCAACCAAGATGAGCTTTGCCTGGACTAGAAAAGGATATTTGAGGAGCTAGTGCAGTTATGTTTATTGCACCAATGCCACCAAACCAAAGTCCCCCTTGTGTGTGTGTCTAAGTGAAGTGATAGCTTCTTTTCCAAAATTCTAGTCCACAACTTAAAACAAGATACAACCATGACTCATAAAAGCAGAGTCTCAAAGCATCAACATAAAGAAATCACTCTTATCCTACACTTGGATCTCATGAACTAAACCCAAGTCACAAATCGTTGCACATGGGCCAGTAGAAACTATGGATCAAATGATGCATATCTTCAAGAAAAATACTTGTTTTGTGTGTGTTCGTTCAGGTCCACCTCCGGCTCCAATGCTGTTAAAATTAACAGCACAGATTCTTAAAACAGCGTCATATTGCACCAAAACGACATTTAACAAAATAACAACGCTATTTTAATCAACACCACCTCTACTGTTGATTTTTTTCTAACTGCAAAGAATCCTCACCCCTGTTTGTTCATCACTTGAACTACAAGGGAGCAAAACGAAAATCCAATGCATTCTTTTCGTAGAACAAATATAACTTCAAATTCAGCTGTCTTTTTGGCTCCACTAACTTTGAGTTTTCAAATTCCTTAAGAGGCAAACCGCGGAAAAATACTTGACTCGAGATCCAGGGAGAACGAGATAGAGAGTGAAAGAGACCTGTGATAGTACCGTGAACAACGGTTCCGTTCTTGAGCTCAATTCACACAGTTTCATTGTTCAACTTCATCAAGAACCTGATCATACACAATTTTAAACAATACAAAACATTACTAACAGCTATAAATAAAGAATCAACCGTTGAGCTTTCTACTAAATCACGCAAGAAATCGAGAAATAGAGTTAAAAAAAAACACCTAACGAGCTTCATTGTTGCAGAAGGAAGACGACAATCGCTCCGCAGAGGGTTTGCGGCATTGGAGAAGACAAAGGTAACTTACTTGTTTACGATATCAACAACGTCGTTTGAGAACCCCCCCCCAGTATCAGAAGAATATGGGCTTAGGCTTTAGGGTTGAGCTTACAACTTGTCGCTGGACAAACTTGATGTGGGCAATTGCTAAACTAACAGGTAGTTTTGGTTCATGCAAAAAAGGGTTTTTCATGTTAGAGTACAATTTTTTAGATTTATTTAGGCAAGAGCGTATGAATAAGTTATTTATTTTATTAAATATAATTTTTATAAAAAAATTTGAGTTTAGGTACAAAATTCAAATGAATTAAAATTTTTTTTACTTAAATACTATTTCTTAATTTATGCAGTCATCATTGACAGTTATTTGATGATTACATATTTGTTATCTTTAATTTTTGAATTTTGAATGAACAGTTTTGTATGCAGTAAAAGTCTGTGTTCAACTGATCTCTGCAATAAGACAAAAAGTTTATGGAGTAACACAAAAAGTCTTCAAACGTCTCTGCAATTTGTTCAAAAAAAAAAATTGATCTTTGCAATAAAAGTCTTCTTCAACGTCTATGTTTATCTGATCTCGACCAGTTAAAGTCTTATTCAACAGTCAATTTACTTCTCCGATGGTAGATTTATTTGAAAAAAGGAACTGCAAATGTCAATCACCGTTATCGGCTTAAAGATTAATTGTTAATAATTATATTTCTTCTTTTATTTTGTCATTTTTTTTTTGAAAAATTCTTATGTTCGATTTTTTTTTATGTTTGTTCGTTGTTGGAATGAAAGGGGAAAAAAATTGCATTTGATTTTAATGGATGTAACTGTTTTTAATGGGTGTAACTATTTTTTCTTATAGACATAATAAATATATTTTTTCTTTTATTCGGTCATTTTTTTTTTTGAAAAATGACTATGTTCAATTTTGTTTTATGTTTGTCCGTTGTTGGAATGAAGGGGAAAAAAAACTGCTTTTGATTTTAATAGGTGTAACTATTTTTAATGAATGTAACTATTTTTTCGTATAGACACAATAAATTTATTTATTCTTTTATTCGGTCATTTTTTTTGAAAAATTCTTATGTTCGATTTTGTTTTATGTTTGCTCGATGTTGGAATGAAGGGGAGAAAAACTAATTTTGTTTTAATAGATGTAACTGTATTTTAATGAGTGTAACTGTATTTCTAATGGATGTAACTGTGTTTTAATAGGTGTATTGAGACCATTAATTTTTGAATATTAACATTTTGCAATTTGTGATTACAAATAGTTACTTAAAACAGTTATGTAACTATTTTTAATTAAAAAATCAAACAATACAGATTGTGGAAAAAAAATTAATGAATGACAAAAAAACAAAAATGAATGTCACCTACAATTTTCGGCGAAAAAGTTGTTGAAGATGATTCACAGTTACTTGACCGTAGGACACGATGAACAATAAGTCGTATTCTTCTTTTTTGTGAACGATAAACATTAACTCGGATGCCTCCTTTTTTTTAACAATGAACAGCAACTCGTATTCCTCTTTTTTTTGGACGATGAACTGTAACTCGGGTTTCTATTTTTTTTAGACAATGAACAGTCATAATTTTGGTATTCCAATCCCTCTGCCGAAGAAGATGGGTTTTGATAATTAAACCCTCTATTTTACCTTCCACTTGATTTTAGCCAAAAAAAAAATAGATGAAAGATAATGAGTTTCCATATATTTACTGTTTACCGATGACAATAGTGATATTTTAAAAAAAATATACACTTTACCCAAAATAAATTTTTGAATTATACTTTTACTTAAATAAGTCAAAAAAATTATACCGAATTCTAAACTGTCCTACAAAAAATGGTCCAGAATACAATTATGGTCCAAGTGTTACGTGAGGTCTACCTTCTTGGCCCGGGAGAAACACGCTACTACCAATAATTTTGGAAAAATTAGAAAGAGGTGCACCAAATTAGACTTAATTGTAAAAAAATACACAGAAAAAAATGTTGGGTAATTAAGTCCTTAATTTTAATACTTATTTGTATCTAAGTATATTTTTTGAATTTTATTGATTTTTTTGTGACATTTTTGCCCTCCATTAATCTATGTGTTTTTCCTTTGAAAAGTGAGGCATTAAATATTTTCTAGTTTTATGGAAGAAAATTAATACATATATATACATTAATACATATATATATATACTTATTGTTAAATCTCTTATCTAAATTTTGAATTATCTTTAATGNTTCTTATCTGCCTCTCTATCTATCTACAAGTTCACTTTAACTCTCTCTTACAGATGCCGATCATCAACACCGCACCAAAAATATTTCACCTATATGTTACACACGCATTACATTGTAGATGCATTGTGTGCGCCGCAAAATTAATTTTATTTTTTTTGATCTCTGAATAAAAATATAGTGTTTAGTATTCTTGACGATAATCTTAAAATAACTTGATTAATAACAAGGATGAGTTATAAATTCATACGTTTTAAGTTTGAATTTTAGTAACTTTTTTTTGAGTTAGATCTTGTGAATANACGCGTATATATAGTGTATTTTTATATATATAGTATATTAGTGATTTGACAACAAATATATATAAATACGTATATATATAGTATATACTTATATATACGTGTATGTATATATTTATATAATAAAGTAGCTTACGATTCAAATTTCAAAAGATAAACAAAATGACTTTTACTATTCGCGCTTAAGATCGCTTTAAATGTTATTTTAAAGTTAATCTAACGGTTAATATTAACACTTTAAATTTAATAGGAAAAAAAGCACCTAACGATGTGTTTGGAATGACTTTTTAAAAGTACTTCCAGAAATTACATATCATAAATACTTAAAAAATAAAAATATTTGAAACCGCCTCACCACCATCGCCACTATCATCATCGCCGCCGCCACCTCCACCGCCGCCAACACCACTGCCATCACCGCCACCACTATCACCATCGCTGCCATCATGGTCATTGCCACCCAACACAACCATCACTATCTTCTATCACCACCATTGTCGCCTACCACCTTTCACCCCACTACAAACCGATGCTTAAATTCTTTTATTTCTTCTTTATATTTATGATTTGATTTTGAATATAAATACAAATATGTTTATTGTTTACTATTTTTTATTACTCTGTGTCTTCAAGTACAGACAATAACTAGTATATATATATATTAACAAACACACATGAATCAAGGTGCATTAAAGATAAGAGATTTTGAATTAAATGACCCTAAAATAAGCATTTATGTCTTTGTAACTCAATTGTGTACTTTTTTTAAAAATATTTTATTCTATGTATTTTTTGACAAATAAGTCTAATTAGGTGTACCAATTTCCAAAAAACACAATAATTTTTGTTTCATATGTTTGGCAGTGGGTATTTTTTTAGAACGTATCTAGTTCTAAGTACACAATCAGACTTATACTCAATTAATTCATTTTTTTCATTAAATTATTATCATTAAGTACACATGTCAATTTTTTTTTTTTTGTTTTACCTAAATAGCCCAATCATAAATACTCTCTATTATTGTTAGTTTCAATGTTTTCAAATATAACAACTCCTAACTTAAGAATTGTACTAGCATTAAAATTATCTATCTATCATATCTATGTACATAGAGAAATGCTATATAACCTAAATTTGCATCTCAAAAGAAGGGCGACTATTGGATCAGTGGATCCCATCAACTTTTTTAAATGGAACCCATTGATCTAATGGTCCCCCTTCATTTTGGATACAAATTTGAGTTTATAGTATTTTCCATATATATAATAAAAAAATATTCTTAATACTAGCACAATTCCCAAATTATAAATTATTAGTACTAATACAATTCACAATTTAGGAATTGTTAGTTTTTTCAAATAAATTTTAATTAAATATGACTATTGAAGGTATTTTAGACAATAGTGATAAAAATAAATTTATTCTCAAACAAATTTTTTGATTAGAGTTAAGTCCAAATAAATTTACATAAAGAGACATCCTCCAAAGATCCCTTTTAGTTTTTCTTTTTTCCGAAGTACGGATCAGATATAACTTCCTTGATCTTTCTTCTTTGTTTTTTAGGTCTTCTATTTATGGAGTCAATAATAGTTATTCATATAAAACTATTTTACATGAATACCCCTACATGAGTTTGAGTCACATCTCGTAGGATGTACTTTTTGGTCACTTTACAAATCCTACTTAATTTAAATTTAATTAAATTTGAAACTTATATAATTTAAGTCCCAAGTCAATTTCTTTAATTATATTCGATCAAATATTATTTTATCTATTAATTTTTCAATGTCTACACCCATAAAATACGAAAGCTTTTAGTCTTTCCCACTTTCCAATTTTAGATCCAATAGGGGAACATAATGGTGGTGGGTAGATGGGGGCCGGGCAGATCTACACATTGATTGCTAAAAATATTTAAATAATTGTTTATTGTATAATTGAGCTTCAATTCCATGGTCTAGTTTGCATCCCAAGTAATTGACTATTTCTTTACCATTCACGTGATTTTGTGAAAGATCATTACCCCAATTTATACTTAAAACAATTCTCACTCTAGATCACCTCTTACGATTCTCATCTCTTACGTCTCTCTTATCTGCCTCTCTATCTATCTACAGGTTCACTTTAACTCTCTCTTACAGATGCCGATCATCAACCCCGCACCAAAAATATTTCACCTATATGTTACACACACATTACATTGTAGATGCATTGTGTGCGCCGCAAAATTAATTTTATTTTTTTTGATCTCTGAATAAAAATATAGTGTTTAGTATTCTTGACGCTAATCCTAAAATAACTTGATTAATAACAAGGATGAGTTATAAATTCATACGTTTTAAGTTTGAATTTTAGTAACTTTTTTTTGAGTTAGGTCTTGTGAATATCTTAATTTCGACATAAATAATTTGTCTTTGATCAGACAAAAAAAAAATTAGTCAAAATATACGTAAATTAACATGAATATTCTGACTGCCGACTGAAAAAAAAAAAGCTATAAAATCCAAGGTTTTTATTTTTTCAAACTTATCAAATCCAAGTTCAAGCAAGAAAAAGCGAACCCACATGGGTTGTCCAAAACTATGGATGTAGTCACCGAGATAACACCAACACCCTTTTAAACTCTTCCCCCGTAAGAACCAAATCCAATGCCTANAGTACAGACAATAACTAGTATATATATATATTAACAAACACACATGAATCAAGGTGCATTAAAGATAAGAGATTTTGAATTAAATGACCCTAAAATAAGCATTTATGTNTGCCTATCTTTAGTTTGAATTCCTGTCTGGCCTCTTCGTTGACATGCAACCATTTTCTCAACCGTTGTCATTCAGGTTAATTGCAGCAGTGGTCCTTAAAATTTTTACTTCATTTCATTTTATTTTTTAATATTATAATTACATCACATTAATCCTTAATATATTAAATTTATTTTTAAATAATTTTCACATATAACGTCGTTTAAATTTTTAACGATTTTTATTCATGTGCTTCCTTGTTTGGGACTCCCAAACGGNGATTTTCACATATAACAATTTTTATTCATGTGCTTCCTTGTTTGGGACTCCCAAACGGAGAGTATTTTAGATGAACCGATGTCTAATTGATCCAAAAAATACAACAATATACTTTATCGTAATATTAAGAAATTAAAATGAGACAGAAAATATACTTTGCGGAGTTTTGCAGTAATTTTGGAGTCAAAATAGACAGCAATCTGTTTAAAATAGCCTATTGAAAAACAAAATGAGATCGGTTTAAACCTCCGCTGCAATTAATACTTCTTATTTAAACCTCTCCACCCCAACTCCAACTCCAAACTTACACTCTAACAAAATGTCTCTTCCACATTTCTTCATCTTCTTCTTCTGCGTCTCTCTCTGTGTTTCTTCTTCCTTTTCAGCTCTTCTCGCACCCATCACGAAAGACCACACCACTCGTCAGTACACACTCTCAGTTTACCTGAAAACCCCACTTCAACCCACCAAATTGGTCCTAGATCTAGGAGCCTCCTTCAGCTGGGTCGACTGTACTCAAAATTACACTTCCACCACGTACCACTCCATCCCATGCAGTTCTTCTCTCTGCAATGCCATCGCTTCACTCGCTTGCTCCAACTGTTTCAACCCGCCCGGTCCCGGTTGTGCCAACGACTCGTGTGCTATGTTCTCCGAAAACTCAGTCACCCGGAAGGCCATTATAGCCGAAGCACTCGTCGACTCGCTCGCTTTGCCCACCACCGACGGTCGCAACCCGGGTCGACTCGGTCTCATCCCCGAGTTCGTATTCTCTTGCTCCAAAACGTCTTTACTCAAAGGACTCGCGAAAGGAGTCACCGGTTTGGGCGGTCTGGGCCGGTCCAACTTTTCGATTCCGGCGCAGGTTAGCAAAGCCTTCTCTTCTCCTTACTTGTTTGCGCTGTGCCTGTCCGGTTCACCCTCCGCTCCTGGCGTGGCTTTCTTTAACTCTGATGGACCCTACTATTTCTTGCCCGAAATTGACCTTTCAAAATCACTTGTTTACACTCCACTCCTTTTGAATCCAGTAGGGAACACCATCATAACGTACTACCTACACCCCTCGGATGAGTATTTTATTGGTGTGACTTCTATAAAAGTCAACGGAAATAACGTACCCATTAATCAGACGATCATGACCATTGATCAGAATGGCTTTGGTGGGACCAAGATCAGCACCGTTGTTCCGTACACAGTCCTACAAACGCCTATTTATAAGGCGTTTACGGAAGCGTTTGTTAATGAATCAGCTGCGTTGAACCTCACCGTAACAAAGCCTGTGATCGGGGTGTGTTACAATGCGGACGACGTTTCAAGTACGCTCGTGGGACCGGCTGTTCCGACCGTAGATCTGGTGATGCAGAGTGATGATNAGCCATTCGGGGTGTGTTACAATGCGGACGACGTTTCGAGTACGCTCGTGGGACCGGCTGTTCCGACCGTAGATCTGGTGATGCAGAGTGATGATGTGTTTTGGAGGATCTTTGGATCGAATTCGATGGTCAGGATTGTGAGGAAAGGTGTAGACTTGTGGTGCTTGGGGTTTGTGGATGGTGGGGCCAATCCAAGGACAGCGATTGTGATTGGAGGGCATCAGATGGAGGATAATCTTTTGCAGTTTGATCTTGGGTTGAAGAGACTGGGTTTTTCTTCTTCAGTTTTGCTGCATAGAACTACGTGTAGTAACTTCAATTTTACCACAAACAATAACTTAAAATAGATTCTGTGTTTAGTACTGTATCAAAAATCACAATTCGATCCGGTAAGTTGCCGTTCAATCAAGTGAGATTTTAATAAATTAGTTTGCAATTAGGTGTGTTAACAACTCTATCCAATCATGTTGATAAACTTTTGTCGAAATGGGATAATGGNAGGTAAGTTGTCGTTCAATCAAGTGAGATTTTAATAAATTAGTTAGTTTGCAATTAGGTGTGTTAACAACTCTGTATCCAATCATGTTGACAAACTTTTGTCGAAATGGGATAATGGTAGTCACCCTCCACTCTTAAAACTTATACATGCTTCCATTTATTTATTGGAAAAAATATTTATGCGGCAATAACTAATTATATACAGACAAATAAAGAAATGAACCCCACATAATCTGTCCATATAAATAAATAATTATTCATCGGAACAAGTCAATAACTACTTAAGTGAATTTTACTTTGCCCATTTGAAATTTTATATTATTATTAATTAGTTATACCATGTTATTATCGTTGAATTGAATATTCTCTCGGACTTATTGAGACCAAAATTTACCGCAATTTCAATTCTCATTGAAGCATCTAGTCGATCTCGATTCGTGGCCCGTCAACTATCTCGGAAGTTAGGCATGTAGTTTTTGACAGAGAGCCTAGTTCATCTCTAATCATGCATAACATGTCCCATGTCCCATATCAACAATTAAAATTCAGAAGACAGACATTAACATAAGACACGAAACTGAAGAACCCAGACGGGAGAGGATCCTCCGCGGTCGTTCTGGTTGTCAAGACAACGACGTTTTGTTCAACCGCACCTCTGCAGTTATAAACTAACTAACTGCAGAGGAGCCAGACCCAACCCAAACACCCCACCCCTAGAAATCCACTTGGAGAGTGAAAAAAACACAAGAATAGTCAAAGCAAAGCTGATTCTAGTNCAGAGCCTAGTTCATCTCATCTCTAATCGTGCATAACATGTCCCATGTCCCATATCAACAATTAAAATTCAGAAGACAGACATTAACATAAGACACGAAACTGAAGAACCCAGGCGGGAGAGGATCCTCCGCGGTCGTTCTGGTTGTCAAGACAACGGCGTTTTGTTCAACCGCACCTCTGCAGTTATAAACTAACTAACTGCAGAGGAGCCAGACCCAACCCAAACACCCCACCCCTAGAAATCCACTTGGAGAGTGAAAAAAACACAAGAATAGTCAAAGCAAAGCTGATTCTAGTACCTCACATCAACTTGCAACTCTGTGGATTATCATCACTAAATATGCTAGGATGCGAGTATGCCACGGGCAGCAAGTGCAGTGAAGGTCCAGTCGCAACATGATAATGTGCAGGCAGTGGCCCTGGAGGAGAGCACCTGCATGCTGATGGTAGTCCACAACCATTAGAATTTTCATGGTGCACACACCTGGGCCTTGAAGGCCCGGCAACTTCGTGAAAACCATAGTGAGAGTTGGTTTTTGCCTGATCATGACAATCACAGCCTGAAGCAGCAACTCCAGAAGGCCCACCACCATGGACAGTCCGAGGTCCATGCACATCATCCACAATGATCATGGTATTCTGGGTGTTACTCTTCTGACCGAAATCATCATTTTGATCCTCAAACGTCATCTTTATGATCTTGGAATGAGTCAACTCCACTTGTTTCACCCCATTAATTTTTGATAACTGGCGCAGTTGTTCCATTTGGCTACTTACCTGTGCATCAATCTCTTGAGCTGGTCCTGGTGGGGAGGCTTGAAGGCTCTTGTTTTGGCAGTTGTAGGTCGAGTAGTGCTCCCACAACAGCTTTGCCTTTTTACCAGCCTTTCTGAGGGCCAGTATGAGTGTGTGTGGATCTACAGTACCTGAGACAGTCACCTTCCCATGTTCACCATCTATGGTAATTGAACAAACTCCTGGAAGAAATTAAAGTAGGGAAAGATTTCAAAATTGGTATAACGGGAGATAAAAGGAAAAAAAAATCTTGGAATAACAATTACCATTTATGTTTCTTAACACTTTATGGATCGTCCTCTCACATGCCGTGCAGTGGAGATTTACCTTTAGAACACAAGTCTGAACAGGATAATATCAAGAGCAAGATTAATCAAGTAGCCACAGAGAGATGCACATTTACATGATAACTTGATAAGAAAGAATTGGGTAACCAAAGTAAATTAAACATATCAATCAACTAATTGAAATCCAGTAAAAAATAAGGACAACTCCAAATATGCAGAGTGTATGCAAGTGTATCTGCTATCTTCATTAGTAACTTTTCTAAGCAGCCAGAATTCCAACTTCCAAGCAAAACCAGCGTTTTAATAGTCTCAATTGCACCACACTTCCACATCACTAACAATATGTCATATTTTGAGATACTGGAGTTAAAAAATCATATTCGTCACTTCTGTCAAAGTTGCTGGTTCCCAACTTCTGCATAAATGTTCAGGACCAAACTAGACACTCATGCAAGGCCAAGGCAGAGATGAAGCCTAAAAACTGCCAATTCATAAACATTATCATAGTTTAAAAGGATTTGATAGTCTTTTCAAATTTCATCAATAATATCCAAAAGAAGGTTTCACCAGGCAAGTGCACTACACAAATGTGTAACTTTGATACTATCAACATGTTCTCCACATACAGGAAATTTGAGAATCAGACCATTTATAACAAAATAAACATACATGCTCTTCTACAGAGAATCTATATGCCCATAATTTTTTCTTTCAACTTGTGTTGCAAGAACAATATGCACGCCATTACCATGTGAGGGCTTGTTTGAAGTCCAATTAAAAAAGAATGTGGTATCCACAAGCGATCATTGTACAGGATGATGAAACACAGACTCAATATTTCAAACATTGATGAAAATTTTTCACTACCAAACATGTGTGAATTGTCATGATTGAAATGTATCAATTATTTATTAAATCAACACAGGTTTCCAAAAGTAACTGCCAAAATCAACTAAAATGCATCTATAACCAACGAACCACATTAGGTACGCAATGAAGTTTGCACTCTATTTATATGCAAATGAAAACATAAAACAATGGACACTGCCAGAATCAACAAAAATGCAACTATATCCATTTGAGGTATTCAGTGAAGTTTGCACTCTATTTATATGTAAATGAAAACATAAAACAATCACATGTGGCCCAACCGAGTAGTCCATTTCAAAATGGCTAAAATTGTATGCTCTCTGGTTTGGCCAAGTCCTCGTCACTTGAACAATTGCAGCCAGCAAAGAGAGTAGATGGAATCTGGCAAAATTGGCGAAGGGATGTCTTGAAGCTTAAAACTTCCCTGAGAGGAAAAATAGGAGAATGTCATCTAAAAAGAATATCAACACATTCATGACAATTACAGATCAAATACAGGTTGGTATATGAAGGTTTCCCCATTATGCATACGATTAACGTAGTGAAGTTTGACTTAATCAAGGCAAAATACCAGCAAGAACTCTTACATCGTATTAGGAAACTAGAATCAAACTTAATGGTATCCATGATTTAGGGTAGGAAAGGAGAGATTAGAGGAAAATTAATCTACGGTACACAAAAACAGTTGAATACATATCACTGCTGAAAATTTTATGCAATCAAGCTGTGTATTTACTAGGGATTTAAATTAAACACTTAAAATTGGGACATTTAAAAGAAGAAATACTGTAATAACTCCCAATAAAGCTCAAAGATTCTCACTTTAATAGAATCCATACCTGACAAATAATATCCTGCATCACTAAAAATTTAAACCAGTGAACTATTTTCCCTCTTCATATAATTGACTAATTGGTAATGAAAATCAGGAGAATACACACACACACACACAAAAAATATTTTTGGAAACAAAATTCTCAAAGAGGCGAGAATTTTGGTGAGAGTTGAGGCAAACTGAAGGAGAGATTCCAGGAGTTGATTGGTAAACTGTCCTAAAATATTCAGAGGATTCAACCTATTTTTAGATTTTAAATACAGATGACAACTTGATAGCAGGCATGTCCAATTTACCATTTTAGATTTCATTTTCAAACACAAAACAGTTCAATACAAGTGGGATGGCAGGCTGGATTTGGGGTTGGGTTGTTAAACTACTGGAATGAGAAGGGCTCAGGCTGCTGTCAACCATAAGCCGTATGAAACCAGGTTGGACTGGTTCAACCACCTGGTTCCCGTCTTAGCACAGCCAACTCTGCAAATTGTTATGGACCATCGATTGACTTCACTCCTAGAGGCCCTCTTCTTCTTCACATCAAATTCTGTGGTGTATTGTGGGTGGATAGGCAACGCCGGGAGATGTTATATTATTCATTGAACATCAGCCATTGTGGTGAGGTGATGGCCCCAAACAATAACACAAGTAGTAAGATAAACTGAAGGGAGCAAGGCAACACCAAACAAGATAGACAGTAACTCATAAATAAAGTTGTGTCAAAGAAATTGAGGCATCATCTTAATAATCATNGTGAGGTGATGGCCTCAAACAATAACACAAGTAGTAAGATAAACTGAAGGGAGCAAGGCAACACCAAACAAGATAGACAGTAACTCATAAATAAAGTTGTGTCAAAGAAATTGAGGCATCATCTTAATAATCATCAACAGGATTGGTGCGGTTAATTTGTCCAACCAATTAATCAAGAACCTTATCTATTGCAAACTAACATGAGACAGAAAAATGGAAGATCACAACATAGAGCAAGGAAAGCAGACCTAATATGCATCACTTCTATGGGCATATCTAACATCTTCTCCTCAGGTGTAATTAGCAGAATTGAAGTCATAGGTTATTCCCAATATATTACTATTTATTACAACTCACTTAAAAAAATATAATTTTTGTACTGTTTAAATGCTACAGGAATGTTAGAAACACTAACGACAAAAGAAACCCAGCCAAGAGTTGTTAACAGGAAAAAATCGATGTTTGCTTTAATTACCCTGTGGTGTTGAATATTCTCATTGCTACGAAGCCAGCAGGCAATTCTTACTCTCTGCTAGCATCTGCGTTGAGTCCAACCGAGTAAAAATCATAAATCCACGCCACAGTGCACCTGCAGACCTGCTTACGTGTCATCCTCTAATTGTAACTTTTCCACCAGCTAAAACTTGCTAGGGATTGCTGGTGCGACGTCTGTTGCTATACTAATCAGCTCCATTGAACAACAGCACAGAGATTATGTCTTACAGAGAATTTCCACCATCAAACCTCACCACTAAGAAAAGTGGGCTTGAAAAAGGGACAATAATCACACGAACTCAAAGAAAAGACCTTTTTAGCAAGACTTCAATGCTTGGCTTTGGAAGATTTACAACTAGAACTAGTCAAGTCAAAAACTAAATGCTGACAAAAAATGCTCCATAAGTTTAGCCAATAGCTAACAAAGTATTTAGCCGAAGTAAAACTAAACTCAAATAAAAAAAGTAGTACACGTAAAAGCAGAGGATCCAAATGTAAAAATTTATAAACTCATGGAGTACAAGGAACTACATAAGCTCATATTTTGAAATTTGAGATTGCCACTAGAGCACTCTTTCACACATGGATAGTCATTTATCACGAGTCTCATACATGCAACAGTAATTTAAACCAACAGAGAACCTTCCATTACAGCAACGGCTTTTCCTCGAAGCAATACCCTCTGATTCTTCTCATCTAGATGCAGGTTCAGCACACCACCTCTGGGTGATGCCTGACGCAACGTAATAATATAATTAATATGCGAAAACAATGATGGTCGTGTGAGTGCGCGCAGGTGTGTGTATGGGGGTGGGTTTGTGTGTGTGTGTGTGTGTGTGAGAGAGAGAGAGAGAGAGAGTGCTTTTGCATATGCAGCAAAATCATGCTTCCCCAGCTTTTTGCACCAAAAGGGTGCTAAGGAACAATGCGCACTCCCGCAAACAGGATCCTAAAAAAAAAAAAGACAAGTCATGCAACATGGAGTATACATCAATTCTATAACCATGTAAGACAAGCATTTGTTAAATGTTTTTGGATCGATCATTACCACAAGTGCATCTAGTTAAATGGAAGTTCATACGAATAAGGCAAAATGTAGATTATGCTTGTTACAGTCCAAATGAAGAAATCCTCCATTATGAGGCGACACTAAGAAGCCATAAGATGCACAAAGATTACGATTTAGGGTTTAGGATTTAGGAATTCTAAAAGAGAACATCAACTAACAATTCAAAGCAACATCTAATCGACTCACTCTAATATCACATCAAATCCTCAACCATCCAAGTCGTTAGAGAAGAATATACGTTAGAGAGGCCGAGAGGGATGTAACATACATGTTCATATCCTTAACAAGCCCTCTCACATGCAACCTAGACTCACCTCCATCAATTTGGTTGAGCAAATGCAAGCAAGGTTGTCAAAACATATATTGCAATGAGTATTGTTTTCCAAACTAATGTATCATGTATCCTAGCTTATTGTGTACTGTGAGATACATTCAACCTTAAGAGAAAATATATATTAATCAACGTATATAGATAAATATAACACATATAATGTCCAAAATAAAATAAATATGGTTTCTTTTCATGCGATGCGTGTATGCAATATAGATAGAAAGAGAAAACACTTCATTTTCGTGGAAGAGATCGAATACAGTTAAGGTTTTGTTTGTTTGAAGAAGAAGAAAAGAAACATGAGAAGTAGAATAGGCTCGCAAAAGAAAAAGGTAATCGTGGGCTTTGTCTGTTTGAGATCAAACCAAGAAAGAAAAATAACTAATAGGTAACAATGTTACTTCATTTTTTGGAGTAAAAAAAAAGAGTAATAACATGAAAAACTGATCTTGTGCTGATCATCTTTTCACCGTATCCAAATGTAACGTAAAATATGTATACAATGCAGTGAAAAAAAAATACATATCGCCAATACGTATCATTTTTCCACTTAATTGTAATGTATAACAACTATGAATACAAGTACTATGATTATCAGGATAGTTAAGATCCCATTTATATCTTCCACATGATACATCATGTGAATCCTTTAATCAATACATTCATCCTAATTCATATTATCGCACAACTCGAAATAAAAGACAGACGATTGACTATAGAAAGTTCCTTGCATGGGTTTCTAGGAAACAGTAACTCTCTTCAGTTGTTTTGTGTTCACAAGATTATACATATGTTCCATTAGAATGGGAAAGAAGTGGTTTCACCAATTGAATAGATTGATACATGAGCTCCTTGAAAGAAAGAACAAAACCAAAAGCCAACATTCTTACCTCCTTGAGCCCCAATTTAGGACAGAAGAAGCGACTAAAGAAGTCAAACCCAGATCCATGGGGAGCAAGTCCTGTAATAATCATTCCCTTCCAGCACACTTTTCAATCTCATCAAACTGCGGCTGTATTTCTTCAACTGCCTCCCCTGATGGGAGCACAACCTGCCAACACAAAACTTTCACTCCCCTTGAGCACAAAGTTAAAACTACAACTTTTCATCAGCTATAGTCAGTTTCTCATGCTTTCCAGTGACCCATTGACATGCTATCACTATGTCATTAGTCACTCTCTGGTTGACACTTCCATTATTTGCCTTACAACAAGTAGTTGCATACTAGTTCAATTATAAATAAAGAACGAAAGAGCAAATAGATTACTTACAAAGAGGTCATCTTTGGCGGTCTTCTTTATGTCAATTACAGAAGCACCATTCAAGCTTTTAGATATTGCGGCAACCTCAGCACAGTTAAAGTCAATTGTTGGCACAACTGGAAAATCCAATTCAATGAAGAAGCTACCTTGTGCTTCACCGTTCTGGAGGGCCGATGAATCTAACTTTCCGGCCTTTGACACCCTTTTTGCAGTTAATATTCCTGATAGTGTCGAGAACTCAACTTCATCAGCATTTATCAAATCAGACGTGAAGAGAAAGTGTGCAGCTGCTAAAGTTGCATGACTGCAAAAGGTTTACCTGTGACCATACAATTTTTGCAGATTTCATTACTCTACAAAGTCACAAATGTATATGACCCTAAATTCACTGAAAAAATAAATTGAAGACCGAATCAATCTACAGACATGAAATAATATTAAATTTCCGACATCGAAATTTTGTTTGGTTGATAACGCTTTGGTGAGGAAGAAGGACCACAAATCAACAACCCCCGTGCCTTCTTTCGACACTGATGGGGCTGTTTATGGTTGTAACTCAAGAAATAGAACAATTCTGCAAAACATAAATAGCAGTTTCATTTGATGAATCCACACATTGGATGCTGTAATTGCAATCATCACAGATGAAAGAAAAGAATAATGCGATGTTTGATTCATATATGTCCTGTCTATAATCGAAGGACTAGACACTTTTGAGTTTAAGATACGAATGCAGATTATGAATAAATGTCACACCCTAACTGACTTGGCTAAAAATGGTCGGTCTTTGTGACACCTTGCACCAAGGCATGCCATAAGTTGGAGTCAAGGTGACGCGACTAAGTGGTTCGACAGATTGGGGCGAACCAAGGCAGCATGAGAACACCCGGTTGAGCATGGTAGTGCGTGGTGGGCTCAATTAAAGCAATGTGGGTGCATAGCTTCGGATTGCATGGCATGGGTTGAACCCAGCATGCACATTGGTTCGTGAAGCAAGGCTGGCTACTGAATGTGGGCACATGACTGCTCAATGCATGTGACCTGGAGGATGTGGGCAGTTACAGATGCTGAGACACAGTCAAGGCAGTTGCTGAGGCAGTTCTGGTCGTCCCTAGTCTGAATCCAGTCCAAATGCATGCTAATGAAGGGCAGTTCCACATCAGTTACTGAAAGGGGTGGAACTGCCTGCCAGGTGTCGCACAGAGACCAAGCCTGCTACCCCTTGGTAGATGGGGGTGTCATCTGCCTTACTCTTGTATAAATAGGGGTGCTTGAGCATTCTGATGGGGAGAGTGTTCTGGCTTTGAGGGTTCCTTGTAAATTATTGAATTCAATATATAAGGTTTGAGAGTTTTATTCCAGTAAATTCGTGTGTGTCTTCTGTGTGAGTTTCTATCCCTTATTCTTAAGTTTGAGTGTGGCTGGTTGCAATAGTAACGCCTTCACAAGTAGCCTCAAAAGAAAAACGAAAGTTATCCCGTGATAGTTTGGTACAGAGCGTGGTTTTAACAACAGATCAACTATGGCTGGCGGAACGAATACTGATATGAGGGACAGGGTGGCACGTTTGAAGGAGTTGGTTGGTTCTCCACAGTCCGGTGATGCTGTGGCTCTCTCTGTGCAACTTGAGTTGTTGTATCAGCGGTTTGAAGAGATGCGTGTTGCACATGAACAACTTCAAAAGACTGAATTTGATCACTTCAGTCGAGTGAAAAACGAAGTCATTGACGTGTTGGCTATGATCTCCACATGGACCAATGATATGGGGAAAAAATTGAGTTCCCTCGAGACAGACGTTTCAATGCTGAAGAAGGCACTGCAGAATGCTTCTTTGGCTTCTGACAGTGAAAGCACTCAGAAAGTTAAAGTGCCTGACCCTAAGCCTTTCACAGGCAGTCATAATACTAAAGAACTCGAGAACTTTCTGTGGGATATGGGGTACTACTTCAAAGCAGTCCGCACTCCAGATGTTGAGAAGGTAGATCTCACTAGCATGTACCTGTCTAGTAATGCTAAATTATGGTGGCGAACACGTTCTGAGGACAAATCTCGTCCTCCAATTACTACTTGGGAGTCTATCCGTTGAAATGAAGGAGCAATTCCTTCCCCGCAACAGGGCTTGGCAAGCCCGTGATGCATTGAGGAAACTTCGACATACAAGCACCGTGAGGGAGTACGTGAAGTAATTCTCGTCTCTGATGCTTGACATCAAAAATATATCAGAGGAAGACAAGCTGTTCAACTTTATGTCTGGCCTCCAAACTTGGGCATAGGCAAAACTTCGTCGGCAAGGGGTGAAGGATTTACCCGCTGCTATGTCCGCAGCAGACGCGCTAGTTGACTACAAAACGCAGGGTAACCTTCCAGAGAATGAGTCAAAAGGGAAAGCCAAGTTCCCTAAGAAGGACAAGCAGAAAAAAAAGGCTGAGAAGTTTGGCAATTCAGAAAAATCGATTGACAAAGTCTCTTCATCAAAGGGAGCTGCTGACTCAGGCTGTTTTATTTGTAATGACCCTCATCGTGCCAGAAATTGCCCCAAGAAAGAAAAGCTCAGTGCCCTCATGGCTGAGGACACTGACTGTTCTGACGAACCAACACGAGTCAACCCATTACAACTTCTTAATGCAATTCGCAAAGAGGAGACGGTGGCAAAGAGGGGGTTGATGTTTGTGCAGATTCGCCTGAACAATATGGTTGTCCAGGCAATGGCTGATACAGGTGCAATCCATAATTTTGTTTCTGACCGAGAAGTACAACGGCTTGGTCTGGCTTTGGTGAAAGACTCTAGCCAAATTAAGGTTGTTAATTCAGAAGTAATACCAGTAGGCGGCGTCGCAAGAGAAGTCCCTTTAAAAGTTGGTGATTGGCAAGGATCATGTGATTTTATGGCAGTCCCTCTCGATGATTTCCAGGTAATCCTTGGACTGAAATTCCTTACAAAGACAAAGGTGTCTGTTATGCTACATTTACAGGGGATGTTCGTGATGGACATGCCCAATCCTTGCTTTGTTCCCCTCACGAAGGCCAAGTTTTGGGGGAAAATATTGTCTGCCTTGTAAGTAAAAGATGGTTTGCGGAGAGGCTAAGTCCCTGAACTCGTGCAACAGTTGCTGGTTGAGTTCAAGGATGTGGCACCTAAAGAATTACCAGCAAGATTACCGCCAAGACAGGAGATTGACCATGCCATTGAGTTGATTCCAGGGATAAAAATCCCTGCCCAGGCTCCTTATCGAATGTCTCCATTAGAATTGGCGGAGCTAAGGAGACAACTTGGGGGTTTATTGGACATTGGGTTCATTCAACCTTCCAAGGCACCCTATGGAGCCACTGTTCTGTTTCAGAAAAAAAAAAGACGGATCCTTACGGCTTTGTGTAGACTACAGAGTCCTCAACAAAGTCACTGTCAAGAACAACTATCCAGTGCCGCTTGTTGACGAATTATTTGATAGATTGGAAAAGGCGATTTTCTTCACTAAGATGGATTTGCGGCTGGGATATCATCAAGTCAGAATTGTAGAGGAAAATGAGGCAAAGACTGCTTGTATGACAAGGTATGGATCATATGAGTTTTTAGTCATGCCTTTCGGCTTAACCAACGCCCTTGCTATATTCTGTAACTTGATGACCAACGTATTTCGGGAATACTTGGACCGTTTCATGATGATTTATTTAGACGACATAATTGTTTACAACCAGACTCTTGATGAGCATGTTGAGCATCTTAGGCTGGCCTTGACAAAGTTGAGGAAAACCCAGTTGTATGTGAAACCAGAAAAATGTGAGTTTGCTCAGAAGGAAATTTCATTCCTTGGGCATATTATTTCTGCGGGCGTGGTGAAGATGGACCCGAAGAAAGTTGAGGCCATTGCAGATTGGCCTGTCCCTACTAAGGTTACTGAACTGCGTTCTTTCCTTGGTTTGACAAACTATTATCGAAAATTTGTGAAAAACTATTCAAAGAAGGTCGCGGTGCTGACTGATCTTCTAAGGAAGGATAGGACATGAAACTGGTCCTACGAATGCCAGGAGGCATTCGATCGATTGAAGGCGGTGGTGACGTCTAGCCCAATTTTACNACTGATCTTCTAAGGAAGGATAGGACATGAAACTGGTCCTACGAATGCCAGGAGGCATTCGATCGATTGAAGGCGGTGGTGACGTCTAGTCTAATTTTACAGTTACTCGACTTTGATTTGCCTTTTGAAGTTCATACAGACACATCAGACTTTGTTCTTGTTGGGATGCTGGTGTAAAATGGGCATCCGGTGGTATTTGAAAGTAGGAAGTTGAATGATAACGAGAGGCGATATTCAGTGCATGAGAAGGAGATGACAACAGTCATTCACTGTATTAATGCATGGAGGCATTACTTGTTGGGGAAGCATTTCCTTGTACTGATAGATAATGTGGCTACCAGTTGCTTCAATTCCATGAAGAAGCTGACACCAAAACAAGTAAGATGGCAGGACTTTCTTGCCCAGTTTCATTTCACGTTACAGTACAAGCCTGGTAGTGCAAATCAGGTTGTTGATGCTCTTAGTCGAATCCCAGTTGCTGATGGGACGGTTGCTGCACTTAGCCAAATTGCAGGAGACATGCTGCAGAGAATTTAGGATCAGACAAAAGATGATCCAGTGACCAACTTATTGTTGAAGCAGGTTCACGAAGGGGTGACTCTGCGGTTTTGGGTAGAGGATGGTGTTCTCTACGCCAGAGAAAGGAGACCCTATGTTCCGAAATAAGGCGGACTTCGACAGATGTTGCTGAAAGAAACTCATGATGCTTTGTGGTCCGGACATCCAGGGCAGCAACGGACTCTTGCCTTGCTAACAGAAAGCTATTATTGGCCCCGCATGGAAGCATATGTGGAGCTGTATGTGTGCACTTGTTTAGTGTGCCAGTAGGACAAGATAGAAAGGAAGAAGGTGGCGGGTACATTGGAACCCCTCCCTATTCCAAGCAGACCTTTGGAGAGTGTGTCCATGGACTTCATTAATGGCTTGTCTCAGGTGAACGATTTTACTTTGATATTTGTGATTGTAGACAGATTTTTGAAGTATGCCACTTTCATTGCTGCCCCAAAAGTATGTACGGCGAAAGTTACTGCTCAGTTGTTTCTCAAGCATATTGTGAAGCTTTGGGGTCTTCCGCTGGACATAGTCAGCGACAAGGACACTCGGTTTACTGGCCGATTCTGGACGGCATTATTTGAACTGCTGTGCACACAGCTCAACCTTTCCACCAGCAATCATCCACAGACAGATGGGCAGACTGAGCGGGTTAATGCAATGCTGGAAAAATATTTCAGACACTATGTCACAACGAACCAGGACAATTGGGTGGATTTAC